CTGGTTCTGGTTCTGGTTCTGGTGTTCTGTCCCTTTTTATTTTGTCCCCTCTCATCAGTGAGTCGCAGAGAATTTCAACCTCTTCTGTTTCTGTCTTTGGTTACAGAACCAGACGCGCACCACGTTTTTTTTCAGGTCCAACTTTTCGGCGATGGCCGCGATCTTCTCGGAGGAGGGCCGCGGCTGGACCGCGAAGTAGGCCTCCAGGGACCTCTTCTCCGGGGCCGCTATAGAGGTCCGCTTGCGTTTCTTTTCCCCGCCGTTGAAAATGTCCGGTTTGCTCATCTTCTCGCGCTGCGCGCCCTCCGCCTCCTCCAGCCAGGCCTGGAGGATGGGTTTGAGCGCGATCATGTTGTTGTGGGACAGAGTCAAGGACTCGAACCGGCAAATTGTACTTTGGCTCAAGGAGCCCACGCCGGGGATTTTGAGGTTCGCCAGGGCGCTGCCCACGTCCGCCTGGGTCACCCCCAGCTTGATCCTCCGCTGCTTGAAACGCTCCGCGAACGCCTCCAGCTCGCGCGGGTCCGTGTCCGAGTCGTTGATGGAGGGCAGGCCGGGGTTCGTGAGGCCCGGGCCGCCTTGGCCCGGCCCGTGGTGGCCCGGCAGCAGCCCGTGGTGGGTGAGCGACGAGTTCATGCTCATGGCCTGGTGGGAGAGGTGGCTCAGGCCGTGCATGTGGGGGTGCGCGTGGGCGGAGGAGGTGGAGATGAGCCCTCCGCCTCCGCCGCCGCCTCCACCGCCGCCCCCGCCTCCGCCCGTCCCGTCGTGCGCGCTGGACATGAGGGTGAGGGACGGCGAGCCGATGTGGTCCATGATGTCCGGGGGCTCCAGGTTCTGGTGGTGGTGGTGGTGATGGTGGTGGTGGTGGTGCGCCAGCGGCACGGTGGACGTGGACGAGCACGGCACGGTGCTCATGGTGTGGTAGGTGGCGTCCGGCTTGAACGGGTGCGTCTTGCCCTGGGACACGGCGATGTCCACGGCGGCCAGAGCCTCGGCGCGCGCCAGCAGGGTCTCATCCAGGCTGGCGAAGATGTTGCTCTGCAGCTGCCGGGAGAACAACAAAAACAAACAGGGACAGAGTCATGAACATTCATGGGAAAACAACAAAACTACTCTGCGCGCGCTCACCACAAAGATCAGAGGAACGCATGAAATAAACATTTTACGCGCCTCTTTGGATGGAGCGTCTTGTTTTTACGCGCGTCGCACCATGAAAAAAGTGTCAATTTACAAGAAACTAAAAGGAAAAAAAACTACCTGAGCTGATTTACCTGTGGAGTCTGCAGACAGGCTCTCCTGATCGCCTCCGAGCTGGAGTGCAGGGTGGTGTACTTGTGCTCGGGCAGGGAGGGATGCATGGCGAAGTGCGCCTGTTTGCTGTTCATGGACATCATCTTGGCGAGCTCCAGTTAAAGTGCACAAAATAAAAAAWATATWAAAAAAAAACAGATAAAAGCGGCGGGGGGGAAGCCAGAGTCAGACACAGAATCCCGGTAATGATGCGCTGCAGCGCGCGCTCTGTAGTGCGGCAGCCTCGCGCCGGAGATCACAGAGACGCCTGCAGACTCTCAGACGCGCTCCTCTGTCTCCTGTTTCCTCTCTCTGCCGAGGATGAGAGAGCCGCTCACACCTGAGAGCCTCAGATCTCGTCAGGGCTCGTGGCTTTCGAGCTGCTCTCGCGAGACACGAGCTGCCAGAACCAGTGAGCGCGCTGACGGATAAAGACCCGCGCAGCGCGGACAGGTGGGAAACATCTGGAGACCAAAAACCAGAAATAAAGTCAGGAGGAAAATACAAACTGAATGATGCAAAAAATATATTTTTATTTTATTCAACAAAAACAAAAAAAATGTATAAAATGTGTAACATTTTGAGAAAAAAAATAAGCATTTGATGGAACAAAAACAGTGTTTCCCCTCTGAGGAACATCTGGAGCCATCCAGGACCTGAAGAGACAGGTCTGAAGGTTTTCTAAGCACTGAGAGGACCAGTTCTAGAAGGACTGAGCAGACCAGGTCTGGAGGTTTTGATTGGAGAGTTCCAGCTGTTCAAGAGTCCTGGATGGGATCAGATTTTGTAAAACCTGCAGATACTTTTACTGCGATGATGACGTTTTTCCAAATACTACCCAAGCCAGAGGCACTAATGCACCCCCATACCATCAGAGAGACAGGCTTTTGAACAGTGTGCTGATAAAATGCTGRATGATCAGTTCAGATTATAATACACCTGAGCACAGATGCACAGAAGGCCTCCTCCAGGTCATGGGGCGGAGTCTTTACCTGAGGGGGAGGAGTTCAGGTGTGTCTTGCTTGATCAGGACCTCAGTAACGAGGGCGTTACTCCGGTCAGTCACGATGAAGAAAGATTTGAGTCGAAAGGCAAAGATCTGGATTTACTGGTCGGTCTTTGTTCCAACCCTCACCCAGAAAAGACTGCTAGCTAAAAGTAGCAAAACAGTAGCTAAAAGCTTAGCATGAGACGACAAAAAACTGAGCCGAAGTGGATTTCAAGTTTCTGAATGGATGGAAGGTATCTGATTGTATTTCTATGGGCAGAAAATAAATGAATCAAATATGATTCATTTTATAAAGTTTAAAAAAAAGTTACAGTAATAAAAAGTCGTTTTCATCTGCTAAATGAGCCAAATGTTTTGATATAAACAGCTAAAATAGCACGAAGAATCAGTTACAGCAGATTGTAAAAAAATGAAAATTAAAAAGAATCAGTTTTTATTTGTTTGACCTCATGTGTTGGACCAGCCTCAGATCTGTAAATCATTTGTGTGTGTGTGCATGCGTGTGTGTGTGTGTGTGTGTGTCTGTGTGCGTGCATGCGTGTGTGTGCGTGCGTTCACCACCTGCTCATTACAACCTATTATTGCCAAATGAGTACTAAACAAATTGATTTAATACATCACCAAACCTTGTAGAGTCTTTACACAAATTAATTAATCCCAATAATTTAACACTTCATTAATTCAAACCTCGGCGGTTATCCAATTAAAATTTCATGTAGCAATTAGAGGTATGTGAAATATACACAGTATTGTTAATTATGCATCATAAATAATGTGTTAACTACTCGTGTGTGTGTGTGAGGTCCTTAAAGGCACAACCATTTCTACTTTTAATATCCACCTATTGTTAACTGTCATTTAATTATGTGCAAAGGTTTTAATCCACACTTCAGGGGGCGTGGCTGTGTGTGGGTGTGGCCTGACTCAGGTCCACCTACGTCTTTGACAAGCCACGCCCAGTCCAATAATATGTTTCATTCTTTTATTTCTTTGGGTTGCAGAGGCAACAAGTTGACCACAGCTTTGGCTGTTTTACTGTAAAGATAGTTTTAAATATTTTAACAGAAATTTACTGAAGTTAGATGTACACGATTGTTGTATAAAGGTAAATTACCATAAAAAGATTTACAATGAATTTATGGGTTTTTTTTACAGTAATTTACAGAGGTGGGCATGCTTCTGCTAATCAGCTAATGGATATTAGCGGAACTAATATTTAATTTAGCAGAATAACTTTTTCGCTAACTTTGAAAACCATTAACAGACTAATTAACTTTTACTAAATTAAGTTTTGGCAAATTTAAGTCTGCTAACTGCTAACTAACAAGCTAACAGTTTTGTGTCAGTCACCAGGCTTCAACTGGAAGGAGATGAAGGCTGTGTCCAAAACGGCAGKAYGGGTCCTCCGAAGGCCGAATTCGTCGGCCGCATACGTCACAGCGCCGCGACGAAGGACATCCAAAACCGAAGACTCCTCCGATGCGTCCGACAAATACGTCCTTCCTTTGGTCCGAATCGAAGGACAGGTCTGATGGATCCTTCCCGGCCCAGCGTATCCCATAATGCATTGCGGCCCGACCGGAGATTTTTTTATGCTAGTAATGGCGGACGAAGCGAGAGCAAAGAATACATTTCAAATAAAAATATGGTGATGTAAAAATAAAAAAAATTTAGCAGTTGTAATTCTAATACTTTTATCATTTGTATGGACATGTTTTTAAATATTATTTTTTCGTCATAAAAAACGCGAAATAAACATGTACCTACAGCGGGTCAATTAGTTCTTCAAATGTTACTTTTAATTTAATTTTATAGTTTTGTGATATTAATAATGCTAATGTATTGATATTTTTCTAATTTTGATTTAAGTTTGCTTGTTTAGCGTCGTCACAGTTGCTAGGTGACCAGACGTACGTCGGGGTAAGGAGGGGAGGCTAGACCGTCCAAATTCACAGCCTCTTTTTTTCCGGTCTTCCCGGTCTACCAAGAACCCGGGCCGCCGCGACCGGGTAGTCTGGGTCCTCCGGAGGACCTGGCCTGCCATTTTGGACACAGCCGAAGTCTACGCATTTATCCTAGCGGTTAGCAATTAGCTAATAGCTAACTTACAAACTAACAAGTTTGTAAGTTCAACTAGCCTGTCCTGTCTTTGGGGTTAGCAATTAGCTGTTAGCTTCTACTACTATTTCTATTCAGTGTTTATTGTCATATACAGTACAYAGATGAAACGTTTCCCTAAGCAATGAAATTGTTACTTTGCCGATTTTTTTATGTTTACATTATTATATTTTTATTTAACATATTCTTCTTGGTTAATCATGCCTACCACTGGCTGTGGGTGTTTCAGTGGTAGATTGTCTGAAGAGATTGTTTATTGATTTAAAAAATAAACAGGTTAGAGTCTCTGCAGAACAAAGCAGGACTAATTTACTGGATTTGAAAATTTTACCTTTTAACTCAATTAAAACCACACGCATAACGAATGACTTGATGGCGTAATAATGATAATTCAGTACAACCAGGAAATATACTTTGGAATAAAAACTTTACRTGTTTTTTAATCTAAGGTTTAAAATGAAACCAAATGTTGAAAAGAGTATCTTGGGGGTCCTCCAAAAATTTCACTACATTGTTAATTTGGTTTTTATTTTTAAAAATACATGGGGAACAATGAACTAATAAACAAACGTAATAAACTAAACAAAAATATATATTCCCATGGCATTTAGAGGTTGAAATGACAATAAATTATCTTTTAAAACAGCGTGGGGTTTATGAGGGGGGTCCCTGCAATTCTTTTTGCCATYGTAAGGGGTCCCCAGACCTAAAAAGTTAAGAGTTTCCCTGTTTTAAACTGATCGACTCAGAGGAAACTGAAACACAAGCAGATTAGAACAAACAGTGATGAGGAGGCAGCTGTTGTAAGAAGGTTGATGGTTCAATTCCCAACATAAACTGGGAGGAATTATTTCCATCGAAACAGCGATGGTAAACTTTAAAACTGATAAATAAAAGGTAAACAGTGGCAACAATCAGCTCGCTGGTTCGATTCCTGATTACCCTGAAAATGTTTAACAAACGAGCCAAACTTTGTCTTATCGAGAGAAATAAAGTAAAAAATAATTTTTTAAAGAGTTCTGTCTGAGGAGCTCAGGATGGAAACATCAATTTTCAAACCCAGTAATTTAAAAAAAAAAAAGCCTCGCAGTAACAGCAAAGGCTGCATTCCATTACGAAATACTTCAAAGTAAACCTGACTGTGAACACACAGAGAAATAATCAGTCTCATCTTTTTATTTATTATTTGTTTTACATTACATCATTTCTTTATTTCTCAACACACTAAACATCAGACGGTTCTTTCAGGATTCCACAGATTCACAACAGTTCATTTTAGGTTTGAATCCAAATAAAACAAAACATCTGAAGACAAACAGCTTCGGCTGGAGGGAAAGTTAAAACAACGGTTTCTCTTTGTTGTTTCATGACTCTGTGCACAAACGTGCTCAGTGATTTAAAAAACGCTGACGGTGCGGTCCAGTTCCAGAGTTCAGACGGKTTTTTTTTTATTCGAGTCACATGAGTTTGGAGAGTTTGGTGGGGCTGGTTGAGCTGAAGGGGCTGTGAGATTTACGTTTTGTGGGCTGGCCGCTCGCTGCAGCCCTCTCTCTCGTCGTGTTCACAGGATTACTGGAGGAGGACAGGGGGTCCGCCTGGTCCTGGAGCCGGGGAACCGGACTAAGGGGACTGGAGGCCTCRTCCAGCGGGTCGAACAGCAGATCGAAGGACAGCTCTTCGGTCTGAGAGGATCCTACGCTCCTCGAAGGCCCAGCTGAGAAACTGTCGCCTCGAGTCTCTTTGGGTTCATGGTCCGAGTTCTYGCCGGGGTTCTGGTTCTGGACCGCGGCTCTAGCTGCGTCGCTCAGGCCGGTTTGTGGCTCCGGGTCCAGGAGAGGAGAGGAGGCCAGGGAGAGCTGCGAGCCCCGGCTGCTGGAGCCGTCTCCRTCCAGCATCATGGAGTCCAGCTCAGAGATCTTGTTTAGGTAGGCGGCGTCCATGGAGGCCTCGCTGGCGCTCTGGAAACYCTCCGGGTCTTCGCCCGACGACTCCTTCGCCTCGTGAGATCTCTGCCACGGACCCCAGAGGACGGCGTCCCCTCGGGGAAACTTCTCCGGGACGCCGAACGCGTTCTTCTCAGGAGACTCGTGGAAGTCGAGCCGCCTCAGGAACGAGGCGGGTCTGAAGGAGACCTTCTTGTTGCGGAGGGCAGGACTCCTCAGGGTCAGGGAGCGGAAAGCAGAGGAGGGAGTGGAGGGCTGGAAGTCCGAGGAGGAGCTTTCAGAGTCCTCGTGCTTCTGCCCTCCAGCCAGGTCCTGCTGGAACTGGGTCCCCGGGTCGCAGATGGACTCCCTCTCGCTGTCGCTCAGACTCCTCATCATCATGCTGATCTTCTGCTGCTGGAGGACGGATTCTGGTCCAGAACCGCCGGTGCCGCTCGCCTCCAGCTGTCTCTTCTCAGCCTTTTTAACCCGGGACTCCAGGTCGTCCACGTACTGGTCGCTGCGCTCCAGGGCCCTCTTCAGGTGGTCCACGTCGCGCTCGTACTGCTGGATCTTGGCCTCCAGCGCCGCCACCGTGTARCGACCGAACCTGAGGACGGATCAGAACGTTTAGAACCCAAACCAGGAAAAAAACAAGCWTTTAACTCAAATACTTCCTGGGTTTTAAATGTAGCTCATGCTCAGAGTCTTTTGTGTCGCATTTTTATTTACAGCCTGTTTTCCTCTTAAATTAGCGTTAGCTGAGCCAAATTCTGAAGAAAATCTGCCAATGTGACAAAATGAGTAAAACTGTGGGTTTTATGCAAAGTTTCTTAAATATAAAGATGTTTTCTTTGACTTTTTGCATTTGAGTGAGATGCACGTCACAGGCACTTTAAGTATACCAAATATATAAAAGTGTATTTCTCTAAATGTACTTTTGTTTACCAAGTACACTGAAATAAGTATACTAGGAGTTTACCAACAAGTATACTTCTTGGGACTAAACTTTATGAAAATATACTCRGAAGTCTACTGAAACTTATCTTTTAAGTATACTATTAGTTTATCAAAGTACACCTGAATGAATACTAAAAGTAATCTAGGTATATACWAAAGTATACACTCACCGGCCACTTTATTAGGTACACCTGTCCAACTGCTCGTTAACACTTAATTTCTAATCAGCCAATCACATGGCGGCAACTCAGTGCATTTAGGCATGTAGACATGGTCAAGACAATCTCCTGCAGTTCAAACCGAGCATCAGTATGGGGAAGAAAGGTGATTTGAGTGCCTTTGAACGTGGCATGGTTGTTGGTGCCAGAAGGGCTGGWCTGAGTATTTCAGAAACTGCTGATCTACTGGGATTTTCACGCACAACCATCTCTAGGGTTTACAGAGAATGGTCCGAAAAAGAAAAAACATCCAGTGAGCGGCAGTCCTGTGGGCAGAAATGCCTTGTTGATGCCAGAGGTCAGAGGAGAATGGGCAGACTGGTTCGAGCTGATAGAAAGGCAACAGTGACTCAAATAACCACCCGTTACAACCAAGGTAGGCAGAAGAGCATCTCTGAACGCACAGTACGTCGAACTTTGAGGCAGATGGGCTTCAGCAGCAGAAGGCCACACCGGGTGCCACTCCTTTCAGCTAAGAACAGGAAACTGAGGCTACAATTTGCACAAGCTCATCGAAATTGGACAAGAGAAGATTGGAAAAACGTTGCCTGGTCTGATGAGTCTCGATTTCTGCTGCGACATTCGGATGGTAGGGTCAGAATTTGGCGTCAACAACATGAAAGCATGGATCCATCCTGCCTTGTATCAACGGTTCAGGCTGGTGGTGGTGGTGTCATGGTGTGGGGAATCTTTTCTTGGCACTCTTTGGGCCCCTTGGTACCAATTGAGCATCGTTGCAACGCCACAGCCTACCTGAGTATTGTTGCTGACCATGTCCATCCCTTTATGACCACAATGTACCCAACATCTGATGGCTACTTTCAGCAGGATAATGCGCCATGTCATAAAGCTGGAATCATCTCAGACTGGTTTCTTGAACATGACAATGAGTTCACTGTACTCAAATGGCCTCCACAGTCACCAGATCTCAATCCAATAGARCATCTTTGGGATGTGGTGGAACGGGAGATTCGTATCATGGATGTGCAGCCGACAAATCTGCGGCAACTGTGTGATGCCATCATGTCAATATGGACCAAAATCTCTGAGGAATGCTTCCAGCACCTTGTTGAATCTATGCCACGAAGAATTGAGGCAGTTCTGAAGGCAAAAGGGGTCCAACCCGTTACTAGCGTGGTGTACCTAATAAAGTGGCCGGTGAGTGTATAAAGGTATAGTATTAGTTTATTTTTAGGTTCCTAAACCGTTTTTTCACCAAACTGACCTGTTACAAAAACTGACAAGAAAGGATTTAAAAACAGAAATACACAACAAATAAACCAATGAGTGAAAATGTACTCTGTGTACTACTACTATAGACTAAGTAGACTTTTAATACATTTTTAATACAAGTGTAGTGTAAGATAAACCTGGTTAAGTTTCTCTCATAAGAACTTAAAAAGTAAAGTATACTCTTATTTATTTATTTTTATGTTTAAAATTATTGTACTTAAAGGATATTTGCATATGCTACATTTTGGTAAGGGTTGTGTAAACAGCTTGTCTCACTGCAGTGTTGGTCCTGCACATTATTTACCCTCCTCCACCTGCCGTACTTTAGGAGTGAAGACGAGCTGAGTCCGTTTTTATTTTTACTACGGTTGGACAAAACYGTACGGTGTGCCGTTAACCGTTAGGAGAACTTCTACCAGTTAAAATTTGGCATCTCTGRGTCCATCCTCCATCTGCATCAGCTCCACGTTCAAAACTCACCTCATCGTTCTGATTCAAACKCTAAAACTGACTGAACTGAACCCTAAACTCTAAAATCAAAACAAGTATCACAAATATCACGTTCAGTGCCGCTCTTCAACTTTCACTTTTTTTTCTTCTTCCTGCAGGTTAGAGGTCGACTGAGGCATCAGCTGGACGATATTTTGAGCTGATTTTATTTTCTTGTATCGGCCCAAAATATACAATTAATTATGAATAGATTCCAGTGAAAAATAAATAATTAATTTAAAAAATGTTTTTGTGCTGCAGATAAAGTCTGTCAGGCAGCAGGAGTCGTTCAGAGAAATAAAACAGAAACTCGTGTTTGTTTTTCCCAAACGAAGCAAAACGAAAAAAAGGATTCTCACTTCTGAGGAGACCTGCTCGCCACCTCCGCCTTCAGCCTCAGGTTCTCCTGGACCAGGTCCACGTTTTGAGACCGCAACGCCTTGTTGGTCTGAAAAAAACAACAAACACCAGAATAACTTCACGACTTTAAAAAAGCGAGATTAAAACCTTCTTAGGCAGACGCTGTCGCCCCCTGGTGGCACAGAACGAGTACTTCAGCATTTTTGCTAGATTTGGAGAAATAAATGTTGGCAGTGAAGATGGAAGTTTAAAACTTTATCCTCATGCTTCATTAGGAGGAATTGATTAATCTAATAAAGGTAAATAATTAATTTAATTATTTATGCTTAACGTAAAGCTGAGGTTTCGCGGTGGGGACGGAGGGTCCTATACCTCTCTCAGCTTGTCCATGTCCTGCTTTATTTTCTCACAAACGTCGGTGGCAGCTTGCAGCTTGTTCCTCCACTCCTCCATCACGAAGGAGGAAACTCTTCGGTCGTCCTCCGGCTGCGGGGCGCTCACGCCGCCGGGGTCCAGGGCGCTCCTCAGCTGCTCCTCCAGGATCTCGTTTCTGGATTTGAGCTCCTTGTTTTCTCTCATTAGTCCATCGATCTCCTCCTGTCCGTGAGAAATGTTTATAAGTGTAAAATTCAGACAGAAAAAAAAAAGAATACGTCTTTTTATCTGAATTTCGGTCCAGAAACTTGTGAAAACAGGTGGATTTCCTGCAGTCAGCTGAACTTTCATCACTCAAACTCAAACTTTAATAATCTGGAAGGTGATGCAAGAAGAAAGCATTTTTTTTCTCTCTTTTACTTTAGTTATTAGTTCAGACCTTTCCAGAACCAGGACGTCCTCCTGGACCAACACCGTCAGCAGGAGGTTGGACCTTCAGATAAAGTTTTACTGAACTTCTTGAATCAGAGTGGATTTATTTGTTCTTATAAACCCTGCAGTCAGAGGACAACAGTCTAACAGTAAATCTGTGTTTTTAGGTAATTAAGACAGAATATATGTAATCCCCTCACATCCTGTGTGTTTGTGACGTCTACACATGACTGTGGTGGGGTCAAAGGTCTGCTTCATGCTGTAAACAAACAAACAGTTCAGTTAAACGACACGTAATGTGTTTCTGTGACCTCGTATTCCTGCAGAAGCAGTTCTGCTCTGGTTTTCCGCAGACGTTTCCTCATGGAAGGACTTTCGCTGTAATCGCCGTCGTTCGTCCCTCCTGCGACACAAACACAAACGATCAGCAGGAAAACACTAAAACAGCAACGGTTCAGCTTTATCTTTATTAAGATAAGCTGCAACGATACAGAAAATTCACCATTCGAAACAGAGAAATGTCCTTCTTAACTTCTAATTTACTGAACATTTGTTTAATCTCAAAAGAATCTAAGATTTTTTTCTTTCTTTCTGCTAATTTTATATGTGATTTGTATTTTTACATGGAATTTATTTGTTTGGGTTTTTTTTAAAAGAATTTAATAAAGTCTAATAATAATAATAATAATAATATGTATTGTTTTAGGTAAATGCTGACATTTCTTTTATGACAATCTGATAATGTGAACGTGTCGATGCAATCTTTGATCCACAATCTATTTTTTAAACCTGATTTAAATATTGGTGCCTATTTCAGTTGCACTAGTTTTAAATAAATTAATAACACAGACTCCTGAAAATTTCATCCAATTATCTGAAAAATAAAGACGTAATGTTCATTTATTGTTTTCATTGTTGAAACAGYTGAAAACTAAACAGTCTTAGTTGTTTCAAGCTCAATATAAGAACAGTTTATTAACTTTTATTTTGTTTTTGTCTCATACCTTCCATTTAATATAAAAGGTAGATTAATCCAAAATAAACAACAAAAATAACCTGTATAGACGATCTTTTCACGCTGTTCAGGACGTAATTATTTATATTTAATTATTATTCCTATAGATTGGTGAGTTGTTTCAGGTAAGGTGCCTGGACAGGTAGTTAGCAGCTGCTGTAGCCCACCTGGAGCTCACCTGTAGCCCACCTGGAGCTCACCTGGAGCCCACCTGGAGCTCACCTGGAGCCCACCTGGAGCTGTGTTTCTAAGTGAAGCTAAGGTTAGCTGCAGGACCCACCGATGATCTCCCTGCAGGGGTTCTCCTCGGTGATGGGCTCCCGGCAGGTGGGACACTGGCCGGCGTTCTTCAGCCAGGTCTCCATGCAGCGCGAGCAGAACACGTGGTGGTTGGCGCAGATCACCGGCTGTCTGACCTGGAGAGGCAGATTATCATCCAGTCATTCGGTTATTTGTTTATTTATAATCCCGGCCTGAGCGGAAGCAGCGCGGCGCAAACAAAGAGTCAACTTTCCCATCCGGCCGACTTAAACTCAAGGCTTTAAACCAGAACYCGGTTTACCTTTCCGAGGCAGATCTGACAGGAAATGGGCAGAGTGAGAGAAAGAGTCGAGTTCTGGTAGTTTGCGGCCATAACTCCTGCGAAAAGAAAAGAAAAAACAAACAAAACAGACAAACTCCGAGGAAACCCGCCGCTCCGTGTATTGGTTCCGCGCTGCCCGTCACGTGACTACGGAAAGCTCACGGGGCCAAAAAAGGCTCCACCGCTCAAAAACATCGCTGTATTTGACTCATTTATTAAACAAATCGAATAAGTTCCTTTCTAAATATTTTCGACACATCCAACTAAAGAACAAACATGTGTATGGAACCCAAACACTGCCTAAATAAATTAAAATCTGTTGAAACAATGATTGACAGCTGTCAACGGAGAAAACTCAGAGAGGTTAAATATGACAACTAGAGGAAGTCTTGGTCACGTGACCGTGTGATGTAATACAGAACAGGCAAGAGTCTGGATTTATCATCACTGTACATGTTGGCAACACAGTGGGGAAAAAAAGGACTGGAGATTTAGAAATAGTAAAAACTTTTAATAAATATATTAACGAAATCCTTATTAGTATATCAGAGAGTGTAAAAGCTATGTAATGATCATAAAACTGTGGGTTTTAAATATTGTAACAGTTTAAAATTAAAATAAGCTTATAAAGCTGATGTAATGAATTTTATTATTATTGTGCCCTAAGACAATTATTGTTGTGACTTGACGTTATATAAATAAACTGAATTGAATTGAATTGGTTAGCCAATATTAGCTTCTATATCATATGTTGTTATACAGAATGTAGCGCTGCTGAATCGTGCTACATCCATCCATCCATCCAT